ATGGGTGTTGGGAGGATAAGCATGCTAAAGATGCTAAAGTGTGTATTGTGGGGACAGGGCACCTGAGCAAGCCAACTCGTTATCCTATTTTAGAGACTGTAAAGCCACTTTGATTGTTGAGCCTTTGTTTTAATCAAAATAACATTTTCTTCAGTGTAGGAAATTTCTCTCGTGCTGAATCCTGTAAATGGTATCAGTGAAAGTAAGCCTTTTTGAAAGGCCTGCCATTTCCGTTTAGAGTGCCAGGTTGTGGAGAATTTACCTAATATTGCAAAGGTTATGAATCTGATGACTAAATTGAGGCTTGTGGTGGCTTTAAGCAAAAATGACGTTACATTAGCAGGTGTTTCCTCTCTAAATCTATTCAGTCTGAGAATATGTAGGGCATCCTACACGATAATGACCAGAGGCTTTGGACATCTATTATTGTCCCAGTTTCTCTCTGTCTAGGGCTGACATCTCTTTTTAGCACCTTCTGCCTTGCTGTGGCTCTAGACAGATTTTCTACAGAGGCAGGGAAAGCCTCTCATACAGGGTGCAGAATATCCTTTAAATATACTCTATAACACATGGCCAGAAATAATTCATCTCCCAGATGAGATTTGAAAGTGGTTCTGCTAAGTACTGTAATTTATCAATTTGCAGTGCTGACATCTTCAGAGAACTGGAGAAGTACAGATTTTAGCTGGATCACTTCACAAAAGATGGAAGAAATACCAAAACGATGTGAAGATTATTAGTTCAAAGCAATGTTGGATAGCTTAATCATGCATGATTTCTGGAAAGGAAAGCTGGTGGCAATAGACTGACTTGACCCGCTCTGTGTGATGAGTGCTGGGTTTTCCTGATTCTTTTGCAGATGTTGAAGAAGTGTGATTTTCATTTGAAAGTTGTAATTGAAAGAAAGGACAATGGTATTGTGTCTGGTCAATGAAGATATACAAAATGTCTTATTCCTATCTGTTTTGTCTGTTCTTCTTCCTTGTCATATGTGGTTGCAAACTTTAATTCAGCATGGAATAATCTGTATGAGTAATTTCTTTTCTTCCTAATTTGCAAGTTGAAATATACTTTATCTTCATACCTGTCATTTGGCTTGCCAATGGAACTTACTTCATAAAAGAACTTATTTTCGTAGCTATTCAATTTGTTGATTGTAGTGAGACATTAATATCTGGAAAAGGATGTAATTTCTTTAGGTTGTTGCAGTACAATATCATTTCATTTTCACATATTATGATAATTATCATTTAATTTTGAAATATTATGATAAGCACGTGTATTATAAGAGAGTTAATTCTTGATTCAGGAGGAGGTATATGAAATGACCAAAACAATAAGCCAAGGGCGTCAGGAATGAGTATACAAAACCTAATATCAACATCCCTTTTTAAATATACACGTGGTAGATATTGAAATAGAACTTATTTAGGCAAGAACTTTGGCAAGCGTTCTACAAATCTTCTCACTACAGAGTATAAGAAGCCGAAATTCCATGAAAAAGCCAAGCTTGAAATTGCTAAGGATAAGTCTTAAGGAAGTTAATCCTGAAAATAGTTCTACTGCATTGAAGTTATTTCAATACATTTGGAATCAGTAACTTGTGCCACTCTGTGATCAACCCCAGAGAAGGATGGTTCTTCTCAGATACTCTAGAGATTTCCTGGAACCATATTTGTAATTGACTAGAAATTGCCAGCATTTAAGAGAATGATTAATGGCAGAGTAGAGTTTTTGAGTCATTCTCCTGTGGTCTTGGAAGCACTCACTTTCCCAAAGCAGCTTTGGTGTACCAGGCTCTGGCTGTTTTCATTGCAGAAGTGTTTTCAGACCGATTCATGTGGGGCTGTTAGCTGGAATGCAAGTTCCACTTTCCCATGGGTAGATAAGGAACTTATTTGGCCTCATTGCTATTTGAGTAATGGTGGTCCTCTGATGGTTTCTCGCAGTCCTCTCTGTGAGTGTAGAAAAACATTTTATTTCATAATTGACTAGGAAAGGAATCCCAGAGCAGCAACAAGGAAAATGTGATTTTGGAGGTCCTGAGCAAAACTCCGTTGTGAGTGCAGCACCAATAAAGACATGGCAACTAGGGTAGGGCATTGCAGTGGGGCTCCTCACAGCTGGCTGAGGCTAGCATACGTGTCAGCGACCCAACTTAACTTTACAGGGGAAGATACACCTCTGAGAGAGTCCCCTAGCATAGTGCTCTCTCCAGCCCCTGGGTTGCTTCTCCTCTCTTCTTGGGTGTTAGCACAGCGGAGCTTATCACTGAGGCAGTGTTCATCTCTGAGGAGCACAGAATGCACTCAAAGCTGTGGATGGCAGAGGGCACAATCTAGAGAAGAGCAAAGTCTGTTGTCAAGTTAGGCTGGAGTATTTGGTGAGCAAATGTATAGGCATCTCTAGTTCTTTCCAGCTCAACAACTGGAGAAGATTTGAGAGAAAACAATGAAAACAGGTGAAGGAGCTTTTAGCTAAAAAGCCCTTCAAGGCCCCAAAAGGCTGTGGCTGTGAAAAAGAGACCAAAGAAAGTCAAGGAGCCAGTGTCTGCTGCAACCAAGAAGGTAGCTAAAAGCCCCCGAAAGGCTAATGCTGGCAGAGCCAGGCTACTGGAAAAGCGACTGAGCCCAAAGCAGCAGACTTGAAAGCGGCAAAGGTTCAGGAAGCTGATCTGAACAAGAAGTAATGTTACTAGAGTAAATTAGAGTGCTTACTCACTCAAATAAACCAATCTTTTGTTTGAGCTTATGCTTTTAAGCTCTGTCAGCAGGAGGAGTCCCCAAGCAAAGGGTTTCTGTTAAAATGGGGCAGTTCAAAACTGCCTTGTTTTGCAATAGGGGCCAAGGCAAGACAATGTTGAAATACACCTGATGCTATATGCAGGACTGTGAAATAGTGCAAGCTTCAGTTCTCTTTTGGAGCACTGGATGAGTGCTTGCCTGCAGGAATACAGTGCTTTAATGTATTGAAGAGCAATTCACATCTTGTGGGAACTTCAAGACAAAAGTAGCCTATTTGTCTCAGGTGCTCTATTGCTGTGGATGTTTCCAGAGAAGCTCATCTGCTGCAGCTGTTCATTTTTACATCTGTTTGCAACCTCCCTCCCTACTTGCTGCAGTGCTACAAATAGGCCTATTATGGGAGGTGACCAACTGCAACAAATGTCTTCATAAAAACTCTACAACTTTGCTCTCAAGGCATCTGTTATACTGCACCCCAATTTGGGTGCTGTATCCCAGGAAGGGCTTATGCAGTTGCTGGAATGCTGCATGCAAGCAAACCCAGTTTAGGCTCCTGTAAAAAGAACAGTGCTTTACTGAGAAGGAGCTGGCCTGCCTGCTAGGACTTGTTGCTTTTAGATGTTCCTGCTTATGCCAAGAACATGCAAGATTTCTAATAAAAATGGAAGGCCTGTAATTTCCATGGTAATGTCTTTCATGTGTACCTCTTAGCAAAATTGCACCGTTTTTCTTTGTGAATTTTGTTATACTTTCTGGATTTACAGGAGAGACTCCAGAGCAGACTGCTCAAGTTAAAGTAGCCTATCTGTTGTGTGAGTGCCCTAGGCAGTAAGGCCTTGTTTCCGTAGAGTTCTGATGTGAGAGCGACTCAGCTGGGTTTCAGGAGTTGTGAGCCCCAGCTGAAGCTGCTTCTGTGCCTGGGAGTGTTTATAAGGTCTTTCACATGTAGCTTTCTCCAGTGAGTAGCAAGGGAAGTTCATGTCATAGTTTGAGGGAGACACATGTGTGCCCTTTTTTCCAGCTAGTCACCCATTTTCACAAAGCTTATAACTGCATATCTTTGAGACCTCTCCTCCTTTCTTGGATTTGATATAAGATTGCCAATAGACTTAAAAATTAGGAGATTAGTGGGAGGGAGGCAGTGGCAAAGAGACGTGTACAGATACAGAAGCATGAGCAGAAATCTTTTCATTTCCAAGTAACCTTATATTAACAAAATGTAGTAAGGCTTCACAATCTGAAACCTGTGCAAGGAGCTGCTCATTTGGGTCATTTAGGAATTCATTACTTTTGCTTTTCATCTGTAAGTGGGTTATTGGTTTAGATGTTGTTAGGAACGGCACCTCTGCCTCCAGATTGCTTATCATACTGAGAACAATTAAAAATCTTAAATTTTGAGGCTTAAGAACTCTGAAGGCTTGAAACTTGGGATAAATAAAATAATGTTACAGAAGCTGTTTCTTCCTGTTTTTTTCCAACTATGCTCAAAGACCTGAGAGGACATGTGGGTGTTATGGAAGCAGTTCCACCCTAGGTTTCCGAGGAGCAGAGTCTCACGCACGTTTAACAGCAAAATTAAATATTTAATTAAATGACAGTATGACAGAGTAACAGCACGAGCTGGGTACCTCCAGGGAGGGACTCAGAACAAAAGAATTCTTAAGTAATTATACTTGTTACAGTCTTATTTCCCTGCCTGCCAGTGATAGTCTCTTCCAGTCGTCTTTACTGATCTTTCCCTCTAATTGGTTCTTGTCTACATCCCGGGACAGTTGCTAGACGGTTGCTGTGTTCCTGCTCCGCAGTACCTTATCTTATCCAAAGGTCAGCTGTTACCTCTGTTCATTCCGGTCACTCTCTTCTGTATCCTTGAGGACTGGTTCTAGCTGCTTTTGCAGTCACGTTGTCAGCAATGTTCTTCGGGTTCGGTCCCGCGGCCTGCAGGCTTCACCTACTGTAGGCACTTATGCTAAGCAAGAGTTAGACTTATACTAAGCTGAAGCTAAGTCGGCTACAATTCTCTTCTCTAACAGTAGGGAATGGTATTCTGAGGATTTGGTTACTGATCAAAGCACCCTGTAGGGAGGTGGAGATGAAGTTTTAAATGCATATCTGTTGCTAGTTTTTAATTGGGCTACAGAGTAAGGAAATTTAAACCCCTGAAGTCGGTCAGACCACAGAGACGCTAATGTGAGTCAAAACAGAGCTCCTTCAGAAAAATGTTGTTATCTTTTTTCTTTTGTTTTGTTTTGTTAGGATCTCGTCTCCTTAGTAGTGGAGGAAGCATCTCAGAAGTGCGAGGAGAATTCAGGCCTGCTCTCCTCAGTTGCTGGCCCTCATCCTGTGATCCTGGAGATTGGCTGTGGCTCTGGAGCAATTGCTCTAAGTCTGTTGTGCCAACTGCCACAGGTGAGCTTTTTTGAATGTTCATAGTGCAGTAGATAGCTATACAGGACAGTCCCGTTGTGCTAGTCTTCATCCAGACTTCACAGACAAACTTCTTTGCTCTGTTGAGACTTCAGTAGTCAGGCACTATACGTTCATGCTAGGTAGAGGGAGGAGATTTAAGAATCACTGTCCCCAGCTGCCTGCAGGAGTAGCAGAGACATGGCCAGAACAGAAGAAGCAAACGTACTCATTCTTCAGCTGTCACAGCTCACAATTTTGTTGTCTTAGCTTGAAGCACTGATGTGGGTTGGTTTAATTCAATAGCCTGAGCTGTGGACCAGGAGTGACTGAGGCATGGGCACGCGCTCTATCTAGTTGACTTTGTGGCAGCAGTTTCTGAAACAACTTCAGTGTGAATGAAAGATCTTGTCTGAGAACCTGAAGACTAAATAAATACAGGAAGGGGATTCCCACAGAAATGTCAACAGTTGGGATCAATATGACAAGCAGCTGTCACATTGCCCCAACTGTCAAGCCTTTTGTTCCCTGATAACAACCCCTGCCCTCTGGATAGAGTTGAAAAGAACAGGAAGGGGGCTGAGATCTGGGTGACCAAAGCCCTTCTGGCCTCAGATTACTGGGGCATGAGACGTGTTTAGTGAGATATTGTTGGTAAGCAGGGAGAAGAGAAATGAAGCCAAGGTCTCATGGCATGTAATCAAGGAAAAAAATATTCCCTTTTCCTCAGAACTGCAGATCAGCTAGTCCCTTGGTGTGAACAAAAATTGCTCTGGCTGGCCCTCGCTCTTGGAGGAGAAGTATAAGATTCAGTGTATAAGAATTTGTGGAGGCTGATACCTGTGTTTCTCCTCCCTTTGACCTGATAAGGTTAATGCTTGAGCTTCATGACTTCAAAGTACAATTGCTCTGATTTTCTGAGCTCTGCTTCATCCTGTTTTCCTTGCCTGTCAGATTAAACAGCTGTGTCAGTCTGTCCCTGTAACTGATAACACTCCTTTCCCAGCTGGCTAATACACAAGCTGCTTTGCCCAGAGAAAAAAGGAGCCTTGACTGAATAGAGTGGATGGTAGCCACACTGACAGCTGAGTGGGGTTTACACTCCCCATTCTCTCTCTAGTGCTTGAGGCAGAATTTGGCCCTAGTAGACTGTCAAGAAAAAGCACTGGCAGCTTCTCATTTATGGATTCAGCTGTGCCCTCTGTTAAGGGTCAGCTTCACATGTGTGCATGCTAGTCTCAGGCTGTGAAATGAACTCCCCAAGGAATCATGGCCAGTCATGCCCCATATCACCATTATCTCCAAATACGGAGTGATTTCTTTCAGCGTGCTTTCTCTGTGTAAATACATAGCAACATCTGTGTTTAAAAACCATTAAGCAAAGCAAAAACAAGTCAGGCCTTTGCCTGTGCTTTTCACAAGGAGGGGATGATGGAAGATCAAACAAATCTCTTAACTATATAGGTTATAAGGATATGCTGGAGGACTCTAAAATACTTGAGCAGTGAATATGGTGTAAGCACTGAGGGCTTCAGTAGAGTGACTAGGCAAAAGGTGTCTGCACAACAGCTGTAAAATGTCGGAACCTCTGTCCAAGCTGTTGTGTTACTGGTGGGATGGAGTCTGGCCATGTTAGAGATCAGGAGCCTAGGACGTGGACTTCCTTTAACTGACATCCATCCTGACATCCGTCCAGATTTTGACTTCCCAGATTGTTGAGTCTCGCACTATTGGGAGCCATGAAAATGTCGACTGATGTGAATCAGTGTGACTCCATTGTCAGCTGAGTTGGTTTGGTCAGAAATTTGTCTGTTTTGGTAAGGTGCTAAAGGTGTTGCAGAGTTCCTTCTGTCGTGTTAGTGGCCTTCCTAGAAATGACTCATGATCCCATCCGTGTCTTGAATTCTTCATGGATTACTCCTGTTAGGAGCTGAGACTAAGCAGTGAAGTCTTTATGTTGCATGGGCGTATCTGCTCAGGAACCTTGATGTTGTAGTACTTACTTTTTTTTTTTTTTTTTTTTTTTAAAAACTGTCCCAGAGCTGGGTGATAGCCGTGGATAAAGAGAAAGCTGCTGTGGATCTCACCAGGGAGAATGCACAGAGGTAAAAGCCCAAATATTACTTTTTCGCTGTTTGAGGAAGACCAAAAGTCCTCAAGGTTTGGACACTTAATTCATGTTTATCACCACTGGAAACCAGCGAATGTTTAATTGTTTGACTCACAAAGTGTCTAAGAATCCAGAAAAAAATGCTTTTATTTACCAGAGGATTTTCTTTCTTCTGACTTGTGAATTCACTTTGCATAGACAGCAGCCTAGATAAACAATAGTGCTATCTGTCTTCTAAGGGTTTTCAAAGTGTTTCCTGGTCATTACCCTTATCTCTTTTTTAAGAACTTGGGAAGCAAGCCTGCAGATAGTAAGAATGTATGTGTCATTAAGAGGTCAAGGATGAATATAGCCTGAACCTTTCTCTCTCTGACGCCCTACAGCATTACTGCCATGTTTTTCTGTCATTGCTTCTCTAGGTTAAGTTCTCACAATTCAGATAGCACCTTCACCCTGATGTGCTACTGTGGTATCCCTCAGCATCCTCCTTACAGTCTGGGGTTTGGTGAGAATGGTGCTGCTGGGTCCCACACTGCTGTTTGCAGGAGCCACCTGCACTGTGACCGAATGTTCAGAGCTTAAACACCTCATGCCACTATCTGCTCTGTGACGACTTGCACTGTAAGAAAGAGCTGAAGTCAGAGCAGCTCTGTATCAGATTATCAGCTGATTCTGCTCAACTCAGATTTCTGGATTGTCACTAATGTAGTGACCAACAAAGCTAGAATCTCAATATGCTTTTGAAACCAGACAGAGATTTCTGCAGACACTGGCTACAATTGAGGGCAGGAGATAGGGTGTCAGGGAAGACCTGGTGTGTGCTGTGGGTGGTCAGAGAATGACATCTCCTGTGGGAGGTTGGCTGTCTTCCTCCACCAGCAAGTCTTGACCAGCCTTGTCTCTCTGTGGCTTTGCAAAGTGCTTCCCATACCATTGCTCACAAAAGCCAGAGGCAAAACTGATGAGAGGTATTTTGATTAGTGAACCACACAGCTGAAGAATTAGAGGTTCTGTTTCTCCCTTTGGTGTCCCCCACTCTGCTTCTGTGATGTCTTCTATAGTATCAGGCTACCACCAAGTACCAAGGCAAATTTCAGGCTGGCCTCTCTTTACTGTCCCAGAAGCATCAAGGGCCTTTTGCTCAGGATTCCTCTGATTTAAGGAGATCTCTATCCAACCACTCCACCCTACCAGGAGCCTGATCACAGCCGGGAACTAGGAACAGAGGAGACTGGAGCACTGTGAGTGCCATGCACTGTGGCAGTCTGGCAGTCTCGAGGCTCTTCTATCTTATATGAGCACAGTGAGTCTGAGAGGTCAGAATCTTGGCCAAAATCTATACCTATTCTCCCTAAGCAGTACTGAGATGTTTATAGACCTATTTCTTAAAAACAAACAAACAAACAGCATGCTTGTTTACTCATTACAGGTAAGGGAGAGGTGTTTTTGTCTTCTAGTGACTTCAGGGATTCTACTGGCAGAATGGGGCAGAGAGCAACTGGGGAGGTCTGGCTGCATATGAAGGGCACTGGCAGAAACATGTTTCGTAACTAATGCCCATAGAGATGTCAAGGGTGAGAAGGATCCTGAGTTAGAAGGTAGCATCTGAGAAGCCCTTGTATGCATTTTAAGTGCATAAATACTCAACAACTTGTGTGGGAGCTGTCCCTAAATGAGTCCCTTCTCCTTGATCTGTGCCTGGCATGGAGGTGCTGCTACACTGCACATGCTGGTCTTCTGACAGTGTGCAGTAACGTCTTGTCACCTTGACATTGTTATGTAAGATGTGAGATCCAAATGTGACTGTCCACAGATGCCTAAAAACGCATTCAGATGCCAGAACACATTTAAGATGCAGATTGTCAAAGAGGGTGGAGAAAGAATATGTCAAATGTTTGAGTATGTTGTCTCCACTTACAATATCACAGATTTGCATATTTGAAGCAGGTAATTGTGGGTTTTTTGCAGGTGTGGTGAGCTTACCTGGGGGAGACCTTGCAGATATAATTAATGTGCAGCTGGGTGGGAGATATAGCTGTAAGTGTGGCAGCAGATGATCAAGCCCAGCATAATGTACACAGGTAGGTTTTGGATGCACAGGAGCCATGCCCTGGAATAGTCATGGGCATGCAGCATGCTCTGCTTTGAATGCTGTTCCCCAGGCAGAGAGCAGATCCTACAATTCCCTCGCTGCTTAGGCTGAGAGGAATCTAGATGCAGTTAGTGGGGCAGGAAACACTTAAATAAGGAGTGTGATGTTATCTTTTTAATGTTCTGTTTATTGAATATGCTGTTCAGTAATCCACACAAACATGTCTCCTAATCTTTCCTCTTTTTGTTCTTGTATCTGGAATATTCTCTGCAGGCTGCAACTCCAGGACCGAATCCACATCCTCCACCATGATGTTTCATCCAGTAACTTTTCATTGTTTTCATTCCCTTTTTAGTTATCCTTTTTTTTTTGCAGAGGCAGCCAAGGGCCACCCTCTGGGATGCAGGGGTAAGGAGGATGTTGAAGTAATAGAGAAAAAGGTCAGTAAGAAGTGAAGCACTGTCGAGCTTTTCCCTTCAGAGATTTCCAGGTCAGATTATCAGCTGAGAGAGGTCCCCAAGTGCCTCAAAAGATTAATTGTTCATGATTTTTGGTGTCTGCAGGTTGTGTCTGAGCTGGTAGTCCAGCTGTTCTTTCACTTTGCTGGGGAGAGGCAGACATAAGCACAGGGTAATTTATCTCATGCTGACAGGGATGCTATAAACAAGCACATATGCACCTGTCTCTCCATTGATGTTAGAGGGAGCCCAGGCATTTAGTTTAGATTAAATGCCCAGCCTTAGTCACCTGAAGTTAGCTGAGCTGAACGAGTGTCTGTCAGATGCAGAGGATACCTCTTGTCTTCCCCGGCCCTGGCCGAAACTATTTAAAGCTACCATTTGCTGAGGCTTATCTAGCTAGAAGTTACGTGCCCAGCTGTGCTTGGCCAGGAGCTGCAGTGCTGCAGATTCATCAGTGCACCATTCTGGCTCTGTGTGTTTTGTGACACTTACTTCTTAGGGATGTGTCTGCACAGTGTTCTGTCCACAGATCTGAGTTTGCACTGCCCTTACTGCAAACAGCAGACAGATAGAAAACTCCGATCCAAAAGCTGTGTAGTTTTGTTGTCACTGCACCTGCATGGGGAAGCCCTGTACCTAGAGGCTGACCTGAGAATGGTGCCACACTCGCATGCTTACCTGGTGTCTAGGTCAGAGCTAGGTGGTTCAGAGCTGGTACACCTCAATCCAGACAGTAGCAGGAGCACAGCAAGCCCAACCTTGTCTGCAGAACATACCTTTAGATGATTGATACTGCTGAAATGGGCTCTTTTGCTCATTAGATGTCCATCTGCAGCTTTAGTAAGAGGAAGGATATGCGTCCTGCCAGGTAGTCTAAACTCCCACTCGTGTCTGTGTGGGCTTCCTCAAGTTTCTGTTGTTGATTTAGATTCAAGGGCCACAGAGCCCTCCAGAACTCTCCAGAGCTCTGTATTGTAAGATGTTAGGCAAAGAGGGGCTGTTGATACAAAAGAAAAAAACAAAATTTTACCTGTGCTTAGCTTTGCATCACTTTTGCAGAGCCAGACAAACATGCACATGTTTCTGAAAGGACATTGTTTTTTGGGTAGGATTTTAACACTGAGCTTGGAAGGGACATTGATATGGGTGAGACTTGGTTGTGATTCTTTTTCTTCTTTAGGTTCTGCCAAGCAGCTGCTGCCTTGGGGCCCCATGGACTTCATAGTCAGTAACCCGCCATATATCTTCCATGAAGACATGGTGTCCCTAGCTCCAGAGATATTCTGGTAATCAGACAAATAATTTTTTCCTTCTCTAGTTCTTTGAAGCAAGGTTTTTATGCTGTTTCTTCATACTGCACATGCGCACACACCCATACACACACACTGCATGTGGTATAGTATACATGTATACATATATATATATGTATACAATAGTATAGTATTGCTTTAATACTACTGACAGACCCTAAACAATATAAAAGTAAATTAAATGTTTATAAAAATGAAAAAAGCACACACTTTAAATTACCAAGTTTCCAGTCCGAAACTGTTTTGTTTCAAAGCATTTTTCCCATTAGGCATTTTCATCATAGTTGATATGAGTTTATGAAAGAAAGCGTAATTAATCGGAGCAGCTTTTTAATGATGGGAAAAAAATGGATGGAAATGCTGTGACATGTTCTTGTCACAAGACTTCTCTTAAACAAACAAGCCCCCACAAACTTGAATATGCTTTCTGGGGATCTGGAACTACTCTGTGCGTGCTGGTCTTCCTCAGAATTGATTGTTGTGCACGTCAGGACAAGGTCCTGCGGCCACCGCTGTGCAGGATGTGCACAAAAGCAGATTCCATCCTTGAAATTGGCTAAGCTTTCCACATCCTGATTTGGTCTAGCTAGGCTAGAAGGCAGTCTAACCTGTGTGTCGGCACTGCCGAAATAAGGCAAATGATCCCTTGTACAATCCACTCTCTCTCTCTGTCCAGCTAACATAGAGAGAACATATCCATATATTGTAACTGTGTGACTCAGGCCTCAGTTGGCTCATTAGTTTCAAGAAGAGTTCAGGAAATGTTTTCTGCTTGTGCTCAACTTGTTGTTTCTCAGCCTAGTGGTAACTTTCTTATTATTCCCTATATTTTATGTAAAAGCCATAAGGGTGCTTTCACCTGCTATGAATGGCAGAGTTCAGGTGTATTAAGCGCACCTTTTTCTGTGGAGTGGCGCAATGCAAGTTATTGCATTTGTAGAATGCATCCTCAAGGACATGGCTCATGCCACATGCATTACCGTTAATGTCTACTTTTACCCAAACACTAGCTATGAGGACCTTGATGCACTGGATGGAGGAGATGATGGGATGAGAGTCATCAAAACAATTCTGGCTCTGGCTCCTTCTCTTTTGAAGGATTCTGGGTAAGCACTGCTCTGTCTGAATTTCATATCTACTATCCATCCACTTTTATAACTTCCATTTTATTTTCATACAGGAAGGTACAGAGGGAAAACAATTGCAAAAAAATTTTTCCCCTTATCTAATGACAGCAGGTTAAAGGTGCCACATCTATAAGCAAGAATTAGTTTGCATTTGGTTAATACAGGGCTCTGCACCACTATATGGGTCGTCTTTGATGAGTGATGTTGTTTCATAGCATTAGCATTGTGAGAATTTTTAAAGGTCAGAGCAGCAACAGATAGAACATGGAGGGGAGCAGCAGAGAAAGAGGGAGCACAAAAGAGGAAAATTTCTAAGCAAAATAACTCATTGAGGGAGAAGTGATGTATGATGTAGAGCTCTGTCAGAATGGATGTAGATCCCTGCTTTCCTCCCACCCTTTAATTAGGGGAAACTTGTAAACTGTGCCGGGATACAATGCTGAATATCCTAGGAGAAACAAAAGATTCGTCCAGGGACAGTTTCTTAAATGTTAAATTTCTCCATGATAAATGCTCAATATTGTCTGTTCCTGTCCCTTGTCATATGGGATCCATTTTGTGCTTAGAGATCTATGTGCTGATACTTGGGGGACCCAAACCTCTGTTCTGCCAAGGGCGTTCACATATCCTCTTGAAAAGTCTTGACCTTTTACCAGCTTAAGGGAAGTCATTGAAAATCTGCTTTTTTGAGAAGAGAAACATAATACTGAGAGGCACACTGTTTGGGGAAGAATTCATTCCTCATGCTTTGCATGACCACAAGAGCCTCAGCGCTTACCAGCAATGGAGATTCATGCTGTCGAGTTAGTTATTAGGATTATATTTCTTTCCCATATTGCTTGTATTGTAAGGTGGAGCTGCCATTGAGGAGTGGGAGTTTTTTAGGGTCAGGAATAAAATCCACACCCAGCTTGTGTGGGATAATTTTAGGAATTCTCAAGGGAGCATATGGCTGGGGCTTGGCCTGTTCCTTGCCTATTAAACTTACATCTTGTTATTCTGTCAAAGGCTGCAAGCAATTCCATCACCTCCATGTGCTGGTAAGCTAGGGTGGGTCTGCCTTGTGGCAGCAATGAGACTCAGAGATGAGCCAGTGTCACACAGTCTGACTGCAGCAGAAATAGCCTGCCAGTATCCAGGCCCAGTACTGGTGCAGTAATTGAGGCTATAGTCCTGTATATAGGACTGTATGGCCTGAATCCTGGGAGTGTTTTCATAACCAATTTATGGAGACATTTGCTATGGGGAAAATTTGTATACTAAGTTATATTTTTATGATTCTTACTGGGACTTAATGTCACCCTGCTTATACAAAGAGGGACTTCATACTACCAGTATCCATGCATTTACATCCTAAAACTTTATTCTGGTCCTTCCTCAGCAGCCTGTTTCACCTTAGATTTTTGAGGACCTCATTAAGGCTGAGCAGGCGATATCTCTGCATGGGGTTCACAAGCTGGGATCCCTGCATCTCAATATCAGGATTAACTGCTCACACAAAGGTATACCATGAGAATTTATCTTAAGATCAACCTTTTCTCCCTCTGAATGAAGCAGCTGGAATATGCATCTTAAATGGACAGCTGCAGTCTGTTTTAGGATCATTGAATTGCAGTGTGTTTCCTGATCATCTCATTTCCTGCCCAGATAGGAGTCATCCAAGGAGAAAGGAAGACCTTAATTTTTCTCAACTTGGCAAACTAAATGTATAAATCTCCCTACTTTCTACTCCCACTTGTGTCCTTTCAGGAGTGTGTTTCTGGAAGTTGATCCCAGACACCCAGAGATGGTGAAAAACTGGCTACAGACACATCCCAACTTGCTACTCACTCTTTGTGCCATTCACAAGGACTTCTGTGGCAAGTAAGTCTGTTTTACCTTCAGATTTTTGCTTCAGGTATAGACCTATGTAATGTCCCCTTCACCTCGGTATCTTGAATGAAACTCAGCCAGAGAAAGTCAGCAGCTGAAGGCAACCTTCTCCAAAATGGAGAATCCCTTCAAGTATCTTAGCATTCTTTTATGTCTCAAGATAGATGGGCAAGTGTTTCTGAGTCAGAAGTGCTGACACAGGTAAGCTGATGGGGTAACTAGCTCTGGTGAGATTATCTTCAGTGGAAAATTGCTGTTTTACATGGTGGAGATAGAATAGCCTTCTCCCTAGTAAGACCTAATGCTCTATTCATTCTTTTCCCCGCAGGCCTAGGTTTTTGCACATCCAAAAACAAAGCAGGTGACAACTGTATCCAAAAGAACAATCTAATTCTGCATGGCAACAGGACTCTCCACTGCAATTCCCAGTGCTTTGACCTCTCCATACAGTGGCAGGCCCCCTCATTTCTTGTTACAGTCTTCATATGGAGATCCAGAGGATCAACAGAGAAAGTCTAAGATAGAGGCATGCAGAAGTGTTTCACCTTCCTCAGGGAACTGCACGCAACTTTTTAGTTCTATGGTAAAGTAACTCATTAATCTCAGAACCCGATATGGAAGAGTTCACAGTTCCAGTTATTTCATCATATTTCTGTGATGACAAATTTCAAAGAAGGGCTTCAGAAGTACAGCTTCTCAACACATCAGATGGCATATTTGACCTAGAAGGGATTTCACAAATTTTTTGTTCTGTTTTTGCCTTAAGAGAAATTTAAGAATATGTGACCAGATTGGATGATAGGTCCAAACCGTGGCTTATCATGGCACATAGGTTTGTGGGTATAATGGGACATGATTAATCTGCGCACTTCAGATTCAGTTTTGTTCCAGGATCCTGATGCTCCGGAGTGGTTCTCCAGTAGTAAAGCAGCCCAGTCCCTCTGAGTGGCATGTCATTAAAGATCAATGCACATGTTACACCATGATTGCTTAGGAGAGACGGAGTTCTACAGTTTAGATAAAGTGATTTTGAGGTGGACTTGGGTAGAGATCAGACCAGAATTTACTGATGCATTTGCCCCTTCCTTTGGAATATTCTTGTTTGGGCTAGAAGAGAAAAGCCTTGCATCTGCACAGCTATAGGTCACTGCTGAAAAAGCACCTCCTCCTATTGTGTGCTTACTTTCCATATTCCTGGCTGTCTAGGTTGCTGACTCAAGAGGAAGGAAGGAACTCTCCTGGTATTGTTAAAACCATCTGAATGTACAGCATCTACCATGTTGTGGATACTGCCAGAAACAAACAAAACATCATAATAAAGATAGTGCTTCATGTAGGTGAAACTGGGTCTCAGATCAGTACGTTTTTTACAAGAACTGCTGTGCAATCATGTTTTCAAATGTGCTAGCAGACCTGAATAAACATCTGGGATCCACACATTGCTTCCCATGATAATACCCAGCTTCTGTGTAAGGTGTTTAAGCCTAAGACTTTACAAAGGAGGTCAGTATCACTACCCTGGTTTCACAGATGGAGAAATCAAAGAAAGGGAGGTGAAATGACTTGTACAAAATGTGACAACAGGCTTAGTTCAGAATAGGAACCAGTCTCTTGACAGCCATGGGAATAGCTGAGGTCTCTTTCTTTGTCTGGGAAAGATGACTCAGAGTCAACGCTGGACAGTCAAGATCATGACGTTATAAATAATGGAACGATTAAATACAAGCTGCTGCTTCTTGTTGCTGTTGTTTCCCAGTGTGGCAAGTTCCTCTCCTGACCAAAGCTAACTGGGGAAGGAAGGAAACAAGCCAAACCAAAGGATCTGATGAACCAGTCTGAAGGGAAGCATTTACTGGGCCAGTGGAGGTGAGCATGCACCAGGGGGATGGAAGTGTCCAGAGAGTGACCTTTGCAGTCTCAGAGTGTGCCAGGGAGGTGCTATCAGGCTGTCCATCCAGGCTGACCTGGGAGTGCGTAGCCAGAAACATTAACTAGAAGCTGCATTAGCAAACTCAGCATCTGGCTGTTGAGAAAGCTGCAGCAAATTCAGAGAGCTTTCCTTGAGCAGTAGTACACCTACTCCCCCTCTACCTCTCACACTGGCTCTCCCCATTCTTTCATTCAGCCTTTAACTCTTGAGCCTTGGCCCTGCTTTCTTCAGAGGTAGCAGCATCTCTGATGTACTAGCACTCAGGTTGCCACTTGGATCCTCTCGCTACCCTCTGGGTTTTTACCTTTCTGCTCACAGATTGGCCTTTCACTCCCTCCCACTACTCTCAGCACTGCATTTATCCTCCCCAACTCTCTGCTTACCTCAGGGAGTTTGCTATGTCCAGTAATCTACCTGAAATTGAGTCTTCACTACCTGACCTGGGGAAACACAATAAAGGAAATCTAGGGAAGGGGAGAACTGAAGAGGCTCAGTTAAAGTGACGCTTGCCCTAGCTTTGGAAATAAAGTTCTAGCACAGCCAATTTCTTGCAGCCTTGCCTGCCAGAGTGGTGAGTACAAATTGTAGTCAGAGGGGTTTTCGTTTCTTTGTTGATTTTTTGTTTTGTTCTTTTAATAATAAAGTCTTTTTTTTTTAAGTTCACAGTTTGTCAGACTTGGATCTTTAAACTTGATATTAAACAGATTTCCCAGATTTCATCTCAGCATTGACAGTATTTATGAAGCACAAAGCAACAAGCACAGCTTTCTTCTGCAGGATATTTAGAGAGTTGGATAATTTACTGGTTTATGAAGGTGTTAAATGGCATAATGATGCATTCTTCAAGGGACAGGCTGATTCCTAGCAGCAGGCTAGAATAAGCTGTTCCTCTGCAAGTGCTGGTGGCTGTACTGTTGTGTGTGTTTTCTCTGAAGCATCAGTTGCTGGTGAGAGGCATTTGCAGGACGTTTTCTCTGTGAGATGGACTCTTGGTCTAATCCAGTAGGGCAAGTGTTAAATTCCTATATTTATCACTAAAGCAATAATAAAAATGCTTACATTTCTGTGGGTGTGTTTTGTATAGTGGTTACATGCCTCAGGAAATCACATGGTACTGCTGGCCTTCTCATAAAGACAAGAGTGGAGAAAAATCATTTTTTCCCAAGAGGCTGGATTTATTTGTCAGATTCCCATCTGAGAGAATATCCTGGTGTAGTACAGTTTGTTCTTTAGTGCTTTATGCGTATTGGCTCATTTTGGTACATAAATGCTGCAGAGTTTTTTGGATATGGTAGTTTTAAGGAACCACAGACAGTCCCAGTGTCCTTGCATAACTAGAGGGCCGTCAATGTTGGCTGTGAGAGAGAGACTTTACCATGCCAGCAAAATACCATGCACATGAGCTCTCTGCAGAGGGTGCAGCTGTTTTCTGAAGCCACAGAAGGCTGATAATTCTGTCGATGCTTTACATAATCAAGTATCTGACATGCACTTAGTTTTCTGAGATCTTACAAGGTCTTTGGAACTGTATCAAAAAGGTGGGGGTTTTTTTCTGAAGTTTCAGAGAGGCTTCGTTTTCCTGCAAGACCCTGTAAGAGCGTGATTGCATGCGTTCCTGTGTGTGTTTTGGAGAGTTACTAGATGAGAAGTATCTGCTAGACCGTGTTGACTTTCCCTGAGGAGCAGGTGGTAAAAGATTGCTCTTTGGCAGAGCCCTGTGGGTGGTGCTGTGGTCCCAGCTTCAGCTGTGTCAGGGCTGGAGAGTAGCCCTGCTATAGGCTTCACTGGCACCACTGCTCTTGTCAGGAGCATGGGAAGATGCAAACCCTCAATGAGAAAACTGGGCCAACAGAAGACTTTAGCATAGATGCAGCTGCAAAGCAGGGCTTTAGTTTTTATTTCTGTACCAGTAAAACAGAGCTTCAGCACAGCCCTCATCTAGGGAAGCTGAGAAGGGACCTTATGGTTGTGGTGCAGGACTGGGATTGGACCCAATGCTGTTAATGGGGTACCTGAAGCCCCTTTAGAGCTGTCTTATTCCATGTTTGTGGTATCTCCAGTATGTTGGAGAACAGAGATGGAGACTACCATTCTTGCTCCAGTGTAATTTCCCTGTGGGTATCCTAAAGTGCAAGCCATCTGTGTTTTCTGCCTTCCACTCTAGATGTGGGGTGAAAGGGACTTTCTCAGGACCTTGCAGAGTCTAAAAATTGTGTTTGTTCTCACAGCACTCTCAGCTGAGCTTTGGCAGTAGGAATGAAGCTGCTTTCCAGGTGAGGAACTGAGACATGCAGTGACTTGCCTAAGATGGCACAGGAAATCACTGGGGACCCAGGTAACTGAATATGCATGTGTTGGATTTCTGGCCAGCAGTTCCTTGATAGAGGGCCATAGATAAAAGGGGTTGGAAGGGAGCTTGACAGTCATGTAGCCTAATTTCCCAGCCCAAGGAAGGACCAAGTTTACTTTACATCCTTCTTGCCAAATGTTTGTCCAGCCTGTTCTAAAAAACTTCTAATGATGACTTTGTGATTTTTCCCGGGCAATCTGTTCTTACTGTTAGAAAGTTCTGCTTAGTATCCAGTCTTTCTTGCTGCCATTGGAGCCAGGTTCTTACTGTCCTCTCCTGATGTAGAGAACAGCTGACTCTCCTCTTAGAGCAGCTTTCATATATTAGAAGTCTGTTACCATGTTTCCTCACAGTCTTTATTTTGGAGGATAGAACACTCCCCACCTTAACCATTGTGTGTTGCTTTTGTAGGCCCCTTATGTGCCCTTCCCTACCTCCTTGAGAGGTGTAAAGGGGAACCAGGTATGCTGAAGGTTAGTATGCTTCAGACATGCTGCAAGAGATACTTGCATATCCGCCTATGGGGATTGAAATAACAGAGCTGCTAGAGCTCAAGTTATTAGAGGGGAGGAGCAGTGAAGACCAAACCAAAAACTGCAATAACATTTTCACAGAATCACAGAATGGTTCAGGTTGGAAGGGACCTCTGGAGATCATCTAGTCCAACCCCCCTGCTCAAGCAGGGTCACCTAGAGCATATTGCCCAGGATCGCATCCAGGCGGGTTTTGAATCTCTCTCCAGGGAAGGAGACTCCACAAGCTCTCTGGGCAACCTGTTCCAGTGCTCTGTCACCCTCACAGTCAAGAAGTTTTTCCTCAGGTTCAGACGGAACTTCCTGTGGTTCAGGTTATGCTCATTGCCTCCTTTCCTATCGCTGGGCTCCACTCTTGTTCTGTCGCTGGGCGCCACGGAGAGGAGTCAGGCCCCAGCCCCTTGACACCCTCCCTTCACATACTTGTACACACTGATGAGATCGCCTCTCAGTCTTCTCTTCTCCAGGCTCAACAGGCCCAGCTCTCGCAGCCTTATGACAGATGCTCCAGTCCCCTCATCCTCTTTGCAGCCCTCCGCCGGACTCTCTCCAGGAGTGCCATGTCTCTCTTGTACTGGGGAGCCCAGAACTGGACATAGCACTCCAGATGAGGCCTCCCCAGGGCTGAGGAGAGGGGCAGGATCACCTCCCTCCACCTGCCCACAACACTCTGCCTCATGCACCCCAGGAGACCATTGGCCTTCTTGGCCACAAGGGCACACTGCTGGCTCATGTTTAACTTCTTGTCCACCAGCACTCCCAGGTCCTTCTCGGCAGAGCT